ACGGACCGGGCTGAAGTAAGCAAAATTTCGACTACGGTGAAGTGCCTTGGTACTTGTTTGAAGTGCGATAGTATCTGTTTTACGTATAAAAAAGGTCATTTACATGACGTTTACAAAATTTGTATAGTCATGAAATGAACTTTAATATGAAATGAATTTTAAAAATCTTTTTTATACGTAAAACTAATGTACAGTACGAGTACTTGCATATTCACTGTACATGATTCGCTTTACATAATTTAATAAAGTTGCTTCATTTAATAAAGTAAAATGAATAGTGTCTACTAGTTTAATAAACGTAAAGTGAATAGTATCTACTAGTACTGATTATGCGAGTACTCTTACGGACTCAACAGAATTTAGGCAATAACGCCGTAAAATTTTGCGGCATGGTACGATACCATCGCCGCCTTCCGGATTCGGGGATTACAATTTGAGATGATAAGAATCATAAGATCTATTCGGCTACTGTTCGATGGCTTTCTAGCAACTGGGATAGTTAAAACGGTGTATAGGAATTTCGCGTTCAAATTGCTGATTACATTTCCAGGTAAAGAGTGCAAAGTTTATCCAGTTTTCTACCACAAACTGCCCCTGTCGTTGCCAGTGCCACACGCGTAAACAAAATACACCGGTCACACCGCAGCACTACACCGCTTGTTAAAAAAACCGCCAACACCGCAGATTTCACATTCGGCTTTTTTTGACTTTATTGTTGCGGTTTTATCCGAGCGTGACAACTTCAAAAGATGTTGCGGGTTCTCTGCGCGATTGCTTTGCTCTGCGGAGCCGTGTATTCTCAGCTAACGATGCTGGGTCTACCAGGACTATCCCCAGCGTTTGGACCAAATTGTACGGAGGAGAATCAGTTGGCGCTCTTCCAATGCTCCGTGAATATTTATAGGCAAAATCAGTCCCTGCAGAACCCGGAATTCCAAAAAGCCAATGAAATCGTCATGAGCGGCAACATCACAGAAGAGCAAGCTAAGGTCATAATTGATGCTCAGTGCAGGCACGCTTAGATCATATGGTTGCCATTTAAAATGGCTCATCAATACCAGTATCAACTTTCAGCTCTAGAAAATAATAATCGGTAATCATCTCGCCATGCATATTAAACACCACAGAAAATACAGTACTAACTAAATGTTATACTGTTGTTATATAATTTTTATTCTTTATATAATATAACACCGAAATCTGTAGGACAAAATAATAATTATCATGAAATACACTACTTTTGCCTGAATTACAATTCACTTAGCACTGTATAATAGACTTGTATCAACATCTGCGCACAAAATAGCGAAACTGGTTTTCGGGTTCTCCACAGCTTTCAGCTGACTGCCTTGCATCGAGTTGTAACATGCACTGAAGGCGGTGGTTAACCAAAGTCCTTTTGTTGTAGTTTTCTAAACGGTTCGAGCGCATGCTTTCGTGCGGCTCCCGATCGCTGCGTCCCAAGTCCGTTGATGATGTGGTCCTTCGAGCTGAATGAAGATGTGCTGAAGTTGTGTTCTGATCCCAGTCGCTATTAAGCACTTCACACAGACTGTGCGTTGCAATAAGAAACTGGATATTTTCAGCACTTTCTCAAATGATCCTCAGCTGCCGCTCATTGGTGCAGAAATCTCCAACACCATGACGTCATCCGTGAGTGACAAGGAAATCTCAAACCTGCTTCCTCAACGCATGAGCCCTATCTTTTGCCGGTGTGGTTCTTAGCTGACATGATCTTCTTATATTTTTTCTTGTCAACACGTCCAAGTATCCAAATAATTTAATCGCATCTTTAGTTTGGAAAAGCAAGTTTGTTTTTCGGAGCACACAAACAGCATAATATTACTGTAGCTCTTGAGCAGCTTTTTGATTTAAATAGCATGTTCTATGCACTTTATCCGATCATGAATTTTGCTTAACTATGCTGTATTCTTCTTTGTAGATTGCTCAATCATTAGATACATGTGTAGATTCGATAGATAATTTGATAGACACATGTTTAGATTGGATAGAGTGGTAGATACTTGTACATGTTTACCACTATTGGTAAGCATGTATGTACCAAACAAACAAATCCCTGTACAACGTCGCGACAGTTTTGCTGCTAAATACAACCAAACAGTCTCGATAAAACGGTGTTTAAACTGCATGCTAAGTTATTTCTAAGGTCACAAGAAAATTATTATTATAATTTTGTTAGTTATAACTTATAACGATCATGGATGCCAAAGTGAAACGCTGGTATGTATCGGCGGCACGGGAGCTTGAAAGGGTGATAGTTTCGTTATTTCTGCAGGGTAGACGCATTACTCATGGCTGCTCTCGAAATAATCGGAGTGGGAGTTTGGGAATACATGACGATTATTCATTGCCTATCAAAGTATCACTCGGAAAGTTACCCTGGTGGATTCTAAAGTCATCGTGTTCTGCCTTCTTTGTTTGCCTTATTTGCTTCTCGAGCTGGTACTTCACCAGAGCCTCTCAGTTGATTTGGTTTAGAAACGGAACCGCCTTCGCAGTTATTTGTTAAGGTAAACTGGCCGATTGGAGATACCTACATGTTATCGTTTTATGGGTATAGATATTAATTTGAATAATATTTGTTGAAAATTTGCTGTTGTGAATCCATCCGCACCGTGTGTCATCATAACACTGCCTGAATTAATTATGAAACTACGTAATCCACCGCAGAAGAAAATGCACCCGAATCCTGAGTCGAATTGTAACAAGCCTGGTGGGTACTTCCGCTTTGTTCTGCTAATGCTGCGTCTTTGCGGAATGTGTCCTTGGCACCAAACGGCCACCGGAACGCAGTTTTTACACTGGTCCATTTTCTTTCGAATTACGCTTTCCATATTGGCAATATGCGGCTTAATCGGTGTCGTTTTGACATACTCAGACGCCCTGCTGACCACCCGCGAAGCGCGAATTCCGCTAACAATTGTTGCTATCATATCTATTCTCTATGCAGTGTTGGTCAATGTGTATGGATGGATGATGGCCTTGCATAGTAAACAACTACCGGCTATCATCGAAAACCTGCGCCGGCATGTGGAAAATGTCCCGATGATAATGAAGCCGGCTAAAAGCTACATTTTATTAATGGGAATGGGTTTACCAGGTCTCAGTGCAGCTTATTTTTCTCTTCTGGTACTTCGAATACACGATGTGTGGAACCGGAAGGAAGTCATGTTCGGTTTCCAGATTGGCGCATTTCACGGTGTAATTTTGCAGGCCGTCGTGGCATGTGGAAATGCGAGTATCGCTGTGGCCTTCGCTGCATCTTTCACCATCCTGGCGCTGACTATCGGATCAGCCTTTAAGCAGAACGAGCGCCAGTGTGCCGCGTATTACCGAGCGTATGCAGTTGGTGATAGCACGTACAAAGTGTTTGCGGCCGGGATTAACAAATGTCGGGAAGAACATTTGGCTTTGTCGAAGATTGTCCGTGAACTGGATGATATTTATGCACCTTCCAGTCTCGTCAGCTTGGCACTGGAAGTGGTGGGATTGGTGCTGTTGATCGGTGTAGTCATTGGTGTCGGCCCTCCGAGCATGGGTTATATGTTCACGAAAAATGCCACCAATCTCCTGTTCTACGCAGTCTATGCATCGTTTAATGTGATTTTGCTAGTACAACGGTTGGTTTCGGCTGCCTATGCTAATAGACAGGTAATAAAACGCTCCAGAATCTTTGTCAAAGCAACAGTACTAATAATGGTCCATAGGCACAGAAATGACAGAATCTTCCTTACTACTAGGCACAGTCTCTTGGAGGGATTTTAAGCATCATTTCCGAAGAGTTTGATTGCGAAAAACTTGGCCTGGAGATGCAGATCCGCAAGACACTGTGCCGTTTACGGGTTCTTCCCGTGGCGTTTACGGCTTGGAATATCTTCACATTGAACGTCGACTTTATTGTATCGGTAAAAGTCAAATACATACAAATATTATGTGCATAATAAGCTTCAGATGGGGCTGTGTAATTACAGTATTTCGCATCTAAACTGTTTTTTAGATCTCCGGAATTCTCCTTTCGTATGTGTTGGTTCTGTATGAAATCAATGCGACAGATGATAAAGCAACAACTTTTCCGCTGAACTGCACCATGCCTTATCCTTCAGGAACTGGGAATGCGTGACTGCACTAACGTATTCATTGTTAAGCCCATGATCAAGTGTGCAGGTTAACAAGTACAATCGGTTTCATGACAAAGTAACTTGCAAACCATCAGTCACTTAACGATATGCAAGGAGATACGGTATGTACTGTGATACAGATAACGTACTTAATAAACATCTTTATTTCGAGACTTTAGTTGATTACTGTACTGTTACTACAGTACGAGTACACCACATTCGCTGCAGAGAAGACAACGCGGCTGTGCGGCTGTGGAATGTATTTCGCAAACTAAATCAGTGTACAGATAGATCAATATTACCGGTGCCTTTGTCAGCCTATTACACATCCATTTGCTGATTATTGCCTCCGAAAATTGGGTAGTCAACTAATTCAAAGTGTCAGTCACTCACGGTGCCTTATCTTAGCCTTTTTCTGGGCTCAGATGCGCTGTCTTCTTCTGCTGACCTATGACGATTACTTCCTGTGCATCTCGCCTGCATCTGCGAAGAAGACATTTTACTGGGAGAAGACATTAACTAGTGGACGGCAACTGTGGACCCAGGCTATCATATACTTAATAACGTTGCCTTATTTAGAGATACGTGCAGTCTCTTAAGTAAAGTGCCATTTGATACGTTTCATTTCTTCAAGTGGCGACTGGCGAAGTAGAACAAGTCCATCCGCCCATTTGATTTCCGTCCTTTGGGAGTATGTTAGATAATATCAGTCAAGAACGAAGAATACAGGGAGTCTTCAATACAGCCTCCGCGCACCTGCTGACGCTTTCGGTTTTTGCACATTCCATCATATTAATTGCATCCCTTCCCCAGTAGGGTAGTATTCCACAATTTCCAGCGTTATTCGAGCTAGGTAAAACTTGAGTACAACTGACACAGTTGTCGCTGCTCTCCGTCGTTGTGAAATCATACAATTTTCTGCTTCCGTATTGAGCAATATGCCACATGTACGAAATCTCCTATCCGTTGCCGGCAACAAACGGCTTGACGAGAAAAATGTGGCTAACAACCCTGTTTCAAACAGCACGTTTGAAAATTATTGCCGTGGGATACTATTCTTACTGCGCTTGGGCGGATTGTGTCCGTGGTGCCGAACCGAAACCGGAACGAAAATAGTGCGGTATTCCGTATTTTGCAGAATTGTCCTATTTATGTTGACCATCACCTGCTTAATCGGTGACCTTCTGACTTATATCCATTCTATGCTCACCACAACCGAGCCAAAAATCCCGCTGACTTTAATCGCGGGTTTATTCGTTCTCTACGAACTCGTGATAATAATATGCGGCTGGTTGATGGCAGTTCACTCCCGTCTGCTACCAACTGTAATCGCAGAAATCGGTCAACAGGTTCGTGACGCGCCGGTCATTGCGTCCGCGTTGAAACGCTACATCACGATGTTCATTATCTTTTTCGGTGGCAGTAGTATCATTTATTTCTTTATCGTTGCGCGACGAATCATAGATGCATGGCACCAGAAAGAAGTGATTTTCGGCTACGAATTTTGGTCAGTCTACGCAGTGTCGTTCGAGCTTGTCGCGTTAATCGGCAACTCTTGTGTTGCGCTAGCGTTCATGATATCTTTTGTCCTCCTGGCCTTGACTTTAGCCATGGCTTTCAAGCAAACGGAACGCCAGTGTACATACCTGCATCGTGCTTATCATACCGAGCAGATCGACTACAAAATATTCGCAACGGGGATCAACAAATGCCGGCAAGAGCACTTGACCTTATCGTGCTTAGTGCAGCAGCTGGACGATATCTACGCGCCGGCTAATTTGGTTAGTTTGGCCGCGGAGATCGGTGGAAGTGTGCTGTTTGTGGGAGCATTATTCGGCGTGGCACCGTCCAAAGTGGGATACATCTTCACAAATAATACAACTGGTGTGTTCTTCAGCTCGTTCATTGCGTTCTGTAATTTGACCATGCTTATGCAAAGAACCTTTGCGGCGGCTTACATGCACTGCAAGGTAACCAAAATCATTAGTCTGGAAACGATTTAGCCGCAACCTTTGATTCCAACACAAAATTCTAATTAATGTCTATTATAAAATACCTTTGACGAACTTCAGAAAGTTGGTATCTACGGTGAAACGTTGTTCTCGAAGCACTCGTGTTTTTTCCAGGCACATTCTATCACTCTGGTCCTTAACTCCATCTCGGAAAAGTTGAACAGCGACAACGACGGATTGGAAGGTCAGATCAACAAAACACTGCGTCGCTTACGAGATTGTCCTGTTGCGCTTACGGCCGGAAGTATCTTCACACTGAACACTGAGTTCATTTTATCGGTACCGATTGCTTGTCAACTGTAAACAGATCCTTGTTTGCGATGATACAACCGTGAAGCGTTTTTTCCCAGGTGACCGGAATTCTTGTTACGTATGTCCTATTGCTGTATGAGATGAACTCTAAGGATGATCATTGTACCAGCTGGATGCTCCCTGTCAACATTACAACAAGGCCTTCGTAAAACAATCTCTGTATATAACTGAGTGTGCGGTGGCCCTCGGTACCATGGACCTGCAATAAAGAAAGGGAAATTTCTGTACCTAAATTCTCACAGATAGCTCTTTGGTTGCTTCACTCAGATAACTGAGATAAGCAATGTCTGTTCACCTTCTTATTTACATATGCCTTTACGATAAGTGTCACTCCATTATAGTGTCTTAGGAGAGAGCTGTAATTTCCAGTTCTACTCTAAAAACAAAAAGGGAACCCAGCTGCAGCCATATTTCCAGCTGCATTCATATTTCCTATAGTTAGTTGACACTAGACAGGTGTCCAACTTTTGTTCGTATTTAATTCCTTTTTAATCCCGCATATACTACCGGCTTACAAGTAGCGTCCTGCGCGCCGACATACAGAGTATAACGACAAGGTTGAATATGTCAAAACTTTCTGCATAGTTTGTTTAAATACTGACTATGGCTGCTGCTGTCTTGCACAGAGTATTATCTCAAAATGTATTTTCCGGGATGGTTAGAAGTTTGAATAATTGGACCATTGGAAGACAATGTAAAACTGCCAATAAATCGCTTACTGCTTACCGCTGATTCGGCTAAACCGTCAATATCTTCGTAATGGAAAGCGGCACAGTATCCAAGTGCAATTACAACTGGTACAAGAACTGTTCCAGTTGCATATTTTCCTTACTGCGCATGTTCGGATTGCTTACCCGTAGCTCCTCTGAATCCGTTTCCAAACACTCGCTTGGCGCTATAACAGTTAAAATTGTTCTAACCCTGACGTTTATTGCAAATTTGACAGGCATTCTGTTAACCTACGTTGACGCATTAATCACCAGTAAGGAATCAAGAATGAGGTTGACCGTGGTAGCAGCCGTTTACTTTCTCTTTGGCCTATCAGGGTTATTGATTCTGCATGTGTTTGGATGCTACAATGAAAAACTCCTTGCAGTCAAGGAAAACATCGTGATGTTTATCAGTTCCGCCACTGTATCAACCATATTGCCCAAGCGGTATGTAAATATGTTCTACATCCAGTTCACTGTTGTATGTATCGGGTTAACGCCACTGGAATGCCTACGGACGCATGGGATCTGGCACTCCTCGGTAACAATTTTCGGCCACCAGTTTTGGCCTGTGTATGCGCGCATCTTCGAGTCCGTGGCACTTGGATCGGTGACGTCAGTTAATTTATGGTTCACACTGTGTTTTGGATTCCATGCCATAACGATCGGGTCAATCTTCGATCAAATCAGGCAACGACTAGAATCGTCGTTCCACTTATACCAAACCCAACGTCTCGACAACAAGCAGTTTGCTCTGAAGATCAGGAAATATCGGCAAGAACATCTGGCATTGACCAATATTGTCCAAGAACTGGATGTGATCTTTGGGCCGTCCAATCTCGTTATGCTATCGCTTAGCGTAATTAACGACATTCTGTTGATCAGTATGGCGATGGGTGTGGCACCGCAACGGCTGGGATATATATACCTGCATAATACGCTACATTTGGTGCATCTGTCCTTGTCTGCTGTAGTGAGCTTATGGATGCTTGGACAAATATTGATCATCGCAGAATATTTGCATCGAAAGGTGAGCAATCGCCACTCTAAACTTTGAAGCTCTTTGCCTGACGAGCATTTCGGGTATCCACCTGATGTGCACTTATGTAAGTAATGTGTGCAACTGACTGTTTTTTTAATGTAACCAACATGCATCGCAGTATATGTACTGATGTACAGTTTATTTTATGTGACGTATTCCGTTTCTGTACTTCACATAAATGGCGCTGTCAACGTTTAGGCACATTCCATTGAAAATATTTTGTACAACATTTTTGAATATATCGACGAAGAGAATAACAGTCTAGAGCACCAGATTTCCAAGACACTACGCCGCCTACATCAACGTCCCGTGGAATTCACTGCGTGGAATATTGTACGGTTGAATGCTGATCTTATTCTAACGGTACAATGGAGTCATCACGAGGATATGTTCTCCCGCACGTTATAAACTTTTTAATCTAACGTCATCTTTTTAATTACTAACGTCAATTTGTTTACTTGACAGGTTTGCGGTATTCTAGCGACGTATCTTGTGATCGTTCATGAAATCAGCAACGATAATCCTTCCCCGACAGTACTTTGCTTGTCACCCAATGTAACTGTGTAACCCTTTCTCCTTTGTTGCGATTTTGCTCGAATTGTAGGAAAGGCTCACCCGCTTGGTATATCGACATTTGTCTGTCATAACACAGTACAATGTATTGTACTACGAGAAGAAGTAGTAGGTTGCTGCTCCCCTTTCGTCGAACTCTAGTAGTTTTTTGCTAACGCGTTAATTTTGATACAGATTGACTAGCTGTTAACAACACAAGTTTCGTCTGATCCATTTTTCCGCATCGGTCTTCGCTTTCTGCTGCTGTTTCCTTCTATCGTCGGCGCCTCGACCGGCATCTTGGGAACAGAATGTACTACCTTTTAGTGTTAACTAGTCAAGAAAATAATTAAACAAGCCATCCCCACGTTCTGAGCAAAATAGATTAGAGAAAATTTATTGCCAAATTTTCGCCAAGAGTACCCGTGTCCCGTACAGTTCGCTTTAGAAGCTGCAGAATACCAACAATAATAAAGGCTTATCACATGATAGGCAGCTAGTGTACCTTCCATTCAAAGTCTAGATGTTTTTCGCTATCCACTCGAGCCTCCTTTTCCAGCACTGCGGGAGCTTCTGACATTTCTTAAAATCTAAAACAGTAGTATGCATCGGCAGCATCGCTGCCTCCCTATTGTTTCGGTGTTCCGGTGTTAGGAAATCCGATTGTCGGATACTGATCAAAGTCGCAGCAGAATGTATCTGTATTTTGTTTGACGCTCTTACTTTATTCCAAAGACGGGCTGCTGCTAGGCTGCTGCATTCTGCACCAGTTAAGATGCCTTTCTGCTGCGTCGGTGACTAGTGAGTAGTGACTACGCCTGAACTCTGCGTTTGTGGTAATTCATTCATTCGCTGTGATGTACCAAGCACTAACTGAAAGAGCTGACAGTTTGTGTACGAAAAGAGGTCATGCGACTGCTTTGCTTAGTGTCGTATGAACATGTTCCGACTGAGCGGTGGTTGCTCTTTGTAGTGGAGAGGTAAGACGAATAGGCGTATGTAGATTAGCCGTACCACTTGATAAACGCCGTACGATGGGTTAAACGCCTCCCGTGGTGGCTGCCCATTACATAGAGCCTCCGTAGAGATTTAACATTGCGCTATGCAGAGTTGCGCTGCACGGCTGCAGTCTGCAATGGTTTCTCTGCTAGTAACACTGCAGTTCTTTACTCTTTTGTGTTCAATTTTATATTACTGAAATTGATTTCAATTACATTAAAATAAATTTTTATTAAGTACGATGGAGAACTGTGTTCGATATAAGGATAATCCTTCTTTGTTTCGTTTGTGAAGCTGTACAACGCCTGTGTGTCGCTGCCGTGTAGCCTCTACGGTCTATCCATGGCGAACTTGTGAGCAGATTTTGCTGACTTTACTTACTGACTACTGTCTTTACATTCGGAACCCGGAATGCCAAATCATCCAGCAACAGAACAGCAGATCATCCAGGAACAGTACACCAAGCTATTAAGAGAGGGAACTTCTGGAGTGGGGCAAAAAGTCAGTAAGTCACCACAGTACAGGCTACAGCGCAAAAAGAGCAATCCTACTCAGTATTATGCTAATCGAGTAGTATTTTGCCCCACTCCAGAAGTTCCCTTTCTTAATAGCTTGGTTTACTGTTCCTGGATGACCTGCTGTTCTGTTGCTGGATGATTTGGCATTCCGGGTTCCGAATGTAAAGACAGTAGTCACTAGTCAGTAAGTAAAGTCAGCAAAATCTGCTCACAAGTTCGCCATGGATAGACCGTAGAGGCTACACGGCAGCGACACACAGGCGTTGTACAGCTTCACAAACGAAACAAAGAGGGATTATCCTTATATCGAACACACAATTCTCCATCGTACTTAGTAAAAATTTATTTTAATGTAACTGAAATCAATTTCAATAATTTAAAATTAAACACAAAAGAGTAAAGAACTGCAGTGTTACTAGCAGAGAAACCATTGCAGACTGCAGCGCAGCTCTGCATAGCGCAATGTTAAATCTCTACGGAGGCTCTGTGTAATGGGCAGCCACCACGGAAGGCGTTGAACCCATCGTACGGCGTTTATCAAGTGGTACGGCTAATTCCCGCACTGGTAAACGAGCGCACAGTCTGTGAGATTTGCTGGTATATCCAGTTTATTAAAGCAGGATTCTCTGTGCGAGACTGATCCCTCCTCCAAACCTGATTGGCCAGAAGCAGCCTTACCTTTCTGATTGGCCAGAAACAGCCGTACGGCTTTAAAGCTTTTCAAGCCTTTAAAACACACTTTATAAACTCTTACTAGGTTTTCGAAACATTAGTGCCTGTACAAACTTTTACCTGAGCTGCCAGAACAAAACAGTCCTATCTTCAGCCTTCGCCCTTACTAATGTTTCCAAACCTTAGTGCCTGTGCGAACTTTTACTTGATTAGCTAGAGCTACCAGAGCAGCCAGAACTACCAGATCAGCCAAAAACAGAACTGCCACATCATCCAGATCGTCCAAAGCCAAGCAGAAGTGTCATTTCTAATACCGCTGGGCACTGATCATTGGAAACTTTAGTAAACTTTTAAGCATTGAGGGTCTACTAAAACAAAGCTTTCAAAGGTTTAGTAAAACTAAGTTTTCAAACTAAACACAACTGAGCTCCAAAAGCTTGGTAAACTAAGCTTACTAAAGGTACGGTTTTGTAACCGAAAGGTGCGTGTGCTGGACTAACTTTTTCATCTTTTTGTAACCAAAAGGTACGTTTGCCGGATTTAGTCTTTTGCGTTTGTAGCCGAAAGATGCGTGTGCGAAATTAACCTTTTCGGCCTTTCCAACCGAAATTTGCGTTTGTCCGAAAAAAGGTGCGTGTGCAGAATCCACACTTTCAGCCTTATTAAATGAATGGTGCGTGTGCGGAATGAACCCTTTTTGGCTTTGGTAACCGAAAAGTGCGTAATTTAGAGCTGTGTGCCCGTCACACTCCCGCCTCTAAAACTTCTTGATTGGCCATAACCATCCTTGCGGCTTTAGACCTGTACAGCTTACTAAAACTCTTGACTTTGGTTCATTAAACAGATCCCCCCTTTAGCGTTGGTCATACTAAGCTTTCGATACCTTAGTACCTACACAAACTTAATAGGCATATCGAACCATAGCTATATCAGCCATATCAGCGATATCGAACCTTCAGCCTTAGAATTTATTAGGTTTATAAAACCTTAGTACCTGTACCAACGTTTTCCTGGTTAACCAGATCTATAAATGGCCTTAACCTATACTAAGTTTCCGAAACTTCAGTCCCGGTTCTGCCAGAGCTACCAGATCGCCAGATCAACCAGATTGCCAGACCAAAGCTTACAGCCACCAAAGGCTGAAAACGGCGGGTGCCGCACGCGTGGCTTTCGGTTAAAAACGGCTTAAAAGGATGGGTACCGCAAGCGTGACCTTTGGCGGTCAATGGCTTAAAAGGCCCTAGGTAGGCGTAATAGTGCAGGTACCGCACGCGTGGCCTTCGGAGACCAAAAGCTTAACAGGCACGGGTGCAATGGGTATCGTACCCGTGGCTTTCGGTCACAAAAGGCCTAATAGGCTGGGTCTCAAAGGCATGGAAAGTTTAGCACGAGTTGGCTTGGACTAAACTTTCTATGCCTATTAGGCCTAACAGGTTTAATCAGGTAATTTGATTAATTTAAGATGAGCCCATGCGTGCGTTGCCCGCTTCAATCAAGCCTTCGGTCACCGAATGCCTTTTAGGCATTTGGCCACCGAATGCCAAGCGTGCGATACCAGCCTTCTTAAGCATTTTACAAGGAAGGCTTTGGTCACCGAAGGTCATTTAAACCTTTGGTCGCCGAAGCTCACGCGTACGGTGCGCGCCTTATTAAGCCTTTAGCCACCGAAGGTTTTTTAAGCCTTTGGTCATCAAAGTCCTTTTAAACCCTCGATCACCGTAGGCCACGCGGGCGGTACCCGCCTTATTATGCATTTCGTCACCGAGCCTTTCGGCACGGAAAGCCTTTCAAGCCTTTGGGCACCGAAGGCTTTTCAGGCGTTTGGTCACCGAAGGCCTTTCAGGAATTTGGTCACCAAAAGTGTTTCAAGCAATTGGTCACCGAAGGCCACGCGAGCGCTACCCGGCTTATAAAGCCTTTGGTCAGCGAAGGCCTCTTAAGCCTACGGTCACCGATGGTTTTTTAAGCCTTTGGTCACCGAAGGCCCCACGTGCGGTACCCGCCTTTTTGAGCTTTTGATCACCGAAGGCCACACGTGCGGTACCCGCTTTTTTGAGCTTTTGGTCACCGAGGCCGCGCGTGCGGTACCCGCCTTTTTGGAACCATTGGTGACCGAAGACCATGATTGTTTAGCCTGCTTTTTTGAGCCTTTGGTCACCGAAGGCCACACGTGCGGTACCCGCTTTTTTGAGCCTTGGGTCACCGAAGGCCAGACGTGCGGTACCCGCCCTTTTGAGCTTTTTGTCACCGAAGGCCAGACGTGCGGTACCCGCCCTTTTGAGCTTTTTGTCACCGAAGGCCACGCGTGCGGTACCCGCCCTTTTAAGCTTTTGGTCAGCGAAGGCCACGCGTGCGGTACCCGCTCTTTTGACCCTTTGGTAACCGAAGGCCACGCATGATGTGTCCCCGCTTTTAAGCATTTTGTAACCAAAAAATTTCGGTTTAATCCGTTTCTAGATACAGTAACTGTATTCCCCTTTCAATAAGACCTACTTATCATATAAAACCGTTTCACTTCAAAGCGTTTAGCAAAAAGACCCAGCCGACAAAAACCGCCTTTGCACTGCAGCGCGGCGCGTAAGCGCCGCGCGCTGTGCTTGTAAACCATTAAGCCCGCCATCGCGGTAGAGAAGACAAGACCTGCTCTTTGTTTTGATTCTTCAACTACAACTACACACGTGATTCGATATTATAGCCTTATTCTCTATAAACGATCGGTGCTTTGACATTTGGGTTTTTTCGGCGCAACTGTCTGAATACGAGTACTAATTAGTAAAGGTCAAACCTCGTTGAGTTTGAGCATCTTGTTGTTCTTTAAATAAAACAAAAAATCTATCGCGCAATGGATTCGCTACACAAAGCAGTTGCCGTTGTCGAAGACCGAACCAGTCGGGAATCGGTATTCTTCACCTTGAAGTGGACCATTCGGGATTTCCACACTTATCGATGCTATCCAGGATTCAAGCGCATGCCCAGTCGAGGTCTTACTATGTCCGAGATAGGAATCACCGATTTTGTGGGACGCTGGCGCATATCCGTTGTTCCTCGTTATGGGTCATATCGTGATCCAGATCAAAGTTATGTTGGTGTGTATTTAGAGTTAGCTGAAGCCTACAGAACCCCACCCGTGACAGCGCTGTTCACGATGAGGTTGGTTCATAGCTGCGTGGTTATTTGCATGTTTTGCTGAAGAATTGGCAATTCTTTATGTACTGAAGTTTGCTGTCAACAACAAACTTTTCAACCTTAACTATTTAGACGAATTTCAGCATGATGACTGGAAGGCTCAGGATACTCTAGTTCGGGATCCCGTAACGTTATCCGAGATTTTCAGCGCAAATAACGCTCATTATGGGGATGGTTATTTCGAAAGCCACAATCACCTATTCGGCTGTGCCAATCAGCCTGGACTCATCAAAGACGACGAGATCAAATTACAATCCAAGTGACAATGTATGCCCCTAACAAGGAGCCGGACACCATTCGCGTGCCGTCAGTGTTAGCGCCTGTTAAAAACTTTTCAGATTTTCTCAATCGCCAAATGGAACTGTTGCATTCACGGAACAACCATCACGCCGACTTTGTCTTGCGTTCCAGTGATGGCCACAAGTTCCCCGTACACCGTTTCCAGCTGGCAGCCCATTCACCGGTCTTCGCCGCCATGCTGTCTCATGACGTTCGAGAGAAACGAACATCCCGATGCGATCTAATCGATGTCGATAAGGAAACTGTGGAGATTCTCCTGGATTACCTGTACGCATTTAACACCGCCCGGATTAATGGAACAAATGCGGAAAAAGCGCTGGCCATGGCGGATAAATACGAGATCATGGATCTGTGCTCCATTTGTGAAGGGATACTGATTAAGAGTCTGGCGGTGGAGAATGTGGTGCGTCGGTTCATTATGGCTCATCAACGAGGATTGAAAATTTTAAAGGAAGTTGCATTGCGTCTCATGCGACAGAATATTGACGTAATTGGAGAGGACAGCGTATTGCAAACGGCCATCCAATCGGAGCCGGCCCTGCTGCAAATAATCATGGGATGCTTTCCGAAATGATGGGGACCATTATTTGCAAGGTCAATTTTCTGAAAGTAAATGCTAATGCTCTTTTTTTCGATTAAATATCTGCACATTTGATATGTTTCTTTAACGGCACATGCGATAACAATATTATTTTTCTTAATCGTTGTCAACTTTCTTTATTGGGTTAAGCGTTGGTATTCTTTTTCGAAATTTCCGTTATTGTAAATGCAAGTGGTGGGTTTTCTTTTATTTGGACATATTTACTATTATTTGGACAGACGTATTGGACATACTTATTATTTGGACATATTTACTTTTATTTGGACAGACATATTGGACATATTTAGCTGCGGTGATTTTGAACATTACCGTTTCAAAGCGGATCGGATGGACCTAAATAAAATACTGCGTGGGTTACCGGGTTGTCAACCTGTGATGTCGTGTTTACGGCTGGAAATATCTTGTTGACACAAAATACATTCTGACGGTAAAGCTTTGGTTGTGTCAACTTGTGTGGAAGCAGTGGAACTATAAAGAAAGCGGCAACAGCAATACCGTTCTTAACGTTCGTGTTCACTGATCATTATGCTTTAACGCGGATCAGGAGGTCACAACGAGAGTGACAAACAACAACGAAAACGTTATGCGCGATGAAATGTAAAATATAAAAAATACGCATCCTGCATAGCGCGGACCCATTAAAAGAAGCTTGTCAACTTTGTCTAATGTGTCAACAAAACTGACAGCATAATGCACGGGAAAAATGAGATCCGCTGATGATCTAGTGTTACATTATGCAGCCATTTTGTAAAAACACTTTTGCCGGTACTCCCGTACTCAGACACATGTTCAGTTTTCCGAACAGCTGTAGGTAGACTTTGAAGTCGGTGATCTGCAAAACCGCAATGCAACACTGGAGGTTACATTAGCCTCTGATTCTCATCCGGGATATGATGGTGCAGTCGGTAATATTTTTCATACGAGTATCTGTACAGTAAGCTGTTGACTATTGCTGAAAGCTGAAAGTAAGTTGTTGACTATTGCTGAAAGCTCCGAGAAAATGTTTGACAAATATTCACGTTGTCTTTTACTGTGGTTACGAGTACACGGAATGTGTCCTTGGCAGCACGTTAATGCCGGAGTTAAACTGTTGCCTTATTCTATAGTTTCTGGAATTTTCTTGATTACACTGGCCTTATTCGCCCTCGTTGTTGACTTTTTAATGTATTCGCACACTTGGGTTACTACTAATGAATCGAAAATTCCACTGACCCTTGTGGCTGGTCTGTTTATCCTAACTGCATTTCTAGTACCTGTATACGCATCCGTGTTGGCATGGCATAGCAAACCGCTACCGGGTATAATGGAAGAATTACACCGATGTGTCCAAAGTTTACCGTTCATAACGCGCACACTAAAACGTTACTGTGTGTGGTTTGCTGTCTGCTTAAATGGAGTACTTAGCATCTTTGCTTTTCTCACGGTACTGCGTCTGCGGGATGCTTGGCACCAAAAAGAAATCCTCTACGGCTTCCAGTTTTATGCTGTATATGGACACGTTCTCCAATTTATCCTAAATTGCGGAATCAGTTCTGTGGCTGTAGTGTTCTCTTTGTCGTTTGCCATCTTTTCTGTGACCTTGGGGTCTGCGTTCAAGCAGGTTGGGCAGGAATGCGCAGCATACTACCGAACGTATAAGGATGGTGACGCGGATTTTAAGGCAGTTATCGCGGGAATAAATAAATGCCGACACGAGCATCTTGAGCTGTCGGACATTGTTCGACGTCTGGATGATATCTATGCACCGTCCAATCTCATTGGTTTAACGTTAGAAGTTCTCCTGGTGGTCTTCATGATCGGGATAGTAATCGGTGTCGCTCCTTCAAAGCTTGGGTACATGTTTACGAACAACACGATGGATCTGGTACATTGCTCGTTTGTTGCATCAGCTAATTTGTTCATACTGATGCAGAGGGTGACCGCAGCGGCCTATATGCAGAAGCAGGTGAATGGCACTTGTCCATGGACATGCGTGGTTTTTCAGTTCGACTTGTGTAAAAACAAACTTTTTAACGTTATAGCGTTTTATTATGTACTAGTACTTTTGCGATAAGCAGATTATTTTAATGGTCCCGTGCGACATGATGTAAATAATTTTTGAAGAGATTGTTGCTGACCTAATAATAGTCACGTTACTCACATACGAACCGGCACCCAAATACCAGCGGGTATAGAATCGTATTAATGACAAGTTGGCCTGGCTTCAGTTAGGAGCAAACCGTGGCTGGTTAGGACCACTTACAACGTTTTCTCGTAGGCGCATTCGATTGTGGTCATTTTAAGCATCGCGTCGGAAAAGCTTAACAGCGAAGACGGTGGATTAGAGGTGCAGATAAATAAAACACTGCGTCGCTTACGAGATTGTCCTGTCGCGTTCACGGCTGGGAACATCCTTACGCTGAACACCGAGTTCATTCTGTCGGTAAGGTTTTACCAGTTTTTGAAACTACGAAAACAACGCGACGTCACTGATAACTAACAGTGTTACCGTTTCAGGTCTCCGGCATTCTTATTACGTACGTTCTGGTGCTGTATGAGATGAATTCCAAAGACGATCACCATGCTGCGTTCTCATGCAACTGTACAACGTAAACACACCCTTGTATTCTCGATCATCAGCTCAAGCCCGTATCTTCTTTTATTTACTCTCGTGAGGCGAGTGTCAATAAAATAGCATTAGCCATTATGACAGTTATCGTTCACTCAGATGGATGTCTTTATTATTCGTTAAATAGAGCGCATATTCGTTGAGCGACACTTCAAGGGAAGTTTAATCTAACAAGCAGTTACTGTATCAAATTTTCTTCATGACGGACCACGAACAATTCCCTCTGGCCCAAACTTATCAACAGTGAACCAGCGATTACTGTTTTAAACAATTTGTCAAGGATTACAGTACTTCGGCTTTTCTCAATAACAGCTATCAATTATGCTGCATAGTGTGAATAACGGGTCATCACACCCGCCACATGTGGCGAGTTACAGTAAAATTGATCCATTGTACATTATAATTGACATGTACAGGAAGTGGTCATGCATGGTTTAGAGCTGAAGACTTTGATACTTAATGTATATCGGCTAGTTGTCACAAATACAATGGCAGATATTTCCAAAGGCATATGAATTACGAAGGACAACAATCGGAACAAAAACCAAAATGTGTCATGTGGGTGTTTCTAAAATTACATGCACATCAGCTATAAAATCAAGCGCAAAAATTTGTGTTTCCTAATTCTGAATATGAATGTGAGTTGTTAGCATTCAAGTCGAAATTTCTAGACGGCATCATTTTATGGTGTACTACTGTGGGTTACTGCAGTCGCATGGCATCTGCATCCTGCAGTCGTTCGCGGCCTAAGGACGTTGAGCCAGTGTTTCGCCGTTGGTTCGTAATTTTGTAAATATGTACCTATGTATATATAATAAATCACACTGCGGTGAACCCTAAAATAGGCCAACGTCTAAAGTTAAAGCAATTTCTGTCCCTCTGTCGCGTTACATTTCGGCCGCACAGGATCACTTCCGCCACCGCTCAGTTTAGCCGAGGCTTACTTCGGCCAGCACTTATTTCGGCCACCTCTCATTTTTTCAACGGTACAGAACATTCCGGCCATCTTTAAATTGCTTAAGCTAGTTGTATCCTTATCACCTCTGCGCTGTTTGCAGTTCAAGTCTTGTTGATCGAAGTGCTTAGTGTCTGTTGATTGCTTGTTGATCATAGGACAGACCTAGTGCTGCCATGCCCATATAACATTGTTCATTACAGTATATTACTATCATTTCAAGTTGAGGAACAATGTCTTATCTTATCCTGGCCCTGAACCCGGACATGAATAGTAATTTACAAATAACTATGATTTATCTGACTGATCTGAAATTAATGTTGACATCGATTCTCAAGCATTATCAACCTAAGTTGGTAAATAAACATCGCACAAGAAGTTTGACCGATTCCTATACATAGAAAACAAAAGAAACACCCCTTTGAGCAGGTAATAATTATTCTTAGTTAATTTTCTTTAGTGCTCATTGATGCCAATGCAATGGCAAGACTGGTTCACGTTTTCCTATGTTTTTGCATTGTCTTTCTCTGTTTCGCTAGGACCGAGTGTCTGATACCCATACGTAATTACTTATCATCGAATTGTCAAGAGCATGATATTCAGAACTTTGAGGAATGCGCTGGATTACGTGCCGCAGAACTCAGGTCGGAGCCGTGGTTTTACAATGCCATATTAGCATTTTTTGACCGGGTAGGACCGGAAAACATCGATCCTAAACCAGTGGCCGATGCAGTGTGCAGGTAAGCGGATGATTTACTGTATGGAAGACCTTTGACACTGTTGGTAGTGGCTTTCAACTCGAACACGATGCTGCAGAATGTTGGAAAATGTTGCAAAATGCATTCCCGTTCTATCCAAACCGTGCCACGTAATCAATATAGCTGACGGCACTGAAATACCGGAAAATATTTTCAAAGAACTGTGCACGAACAGCAGTCACTACTTCGTCCTGACGGAAAGTGTGCGATGCATGTTCAAGCTGAACTTTCCTATGGGCCTGTGGGAGGATCCAGTTATACAGGAGGCTGTACGGGAGACTTCTCAAACCTTTGATATGTTTAACACTCCGTGCCGGTAAGGCCAAATTTATAAGCATTCTAAGGAGATTCAATCCATAATTCGAAGTATTAATTAATAACAATACCTACTCAAAAGAGTATGGCTTGTTTGCAACTACCGTCAGTATATTCACTGGTGCAAGAACCAGTACCACGAGCGCCGACAGTAACATTGTCACGGCCATTAGCACTACAAAGCGCTATTTATAAAAACCAGTCCAATCTACATCGATACTTTATACAGTATTTCGGCGCCATTTTACCATTTTGTTCATATTTCTTAACAGATTTTACAAGCTAACAACTTTTAATACGTATACACATATTCGTTTACAGCCAAATTCTCGTTCATACTTTGAAACGGTTTAGGATTGTTCGACGGATATTCGAGATTTATACACCGGAAGTGATCGGAACACAATGCCACGCCGTGGTATCGGATTACTACTCCCAGATCCATCCACACATCAAAAGCAATATCGACACACTTCTTTGCGCTCTTTATACTGATTATCTCGAGGAGGATGACTACCTAGGAGACTTTCTGGATATTGATGACGCACGTGACGAACTATAATCACGTCCAGAAACCATTCTGTGATTCCATAATTACTTCATATCAGGGACAAGCTCCGCCGAATACAAAGGTTGCGTTACTTTATTAGTCAGTCGCACTCTCTGATGACTGCATTCACGGATGATATCATTTGATGAAGGTTATTTCTGGCAGACAACTGCGAATGATTGAGCAACATTGTTCGTGCTTTGTTTGTTTATTCAGCTTAAATTCTACCATGAACAAGGTACCTTGGTCGAGGCTGTAGGCTAACCCAAAAAAACGTCTTGTGAGATTTGCAACACCTCTACAAAACAAAACTTCTGATTACGTACACATAGGCAATAGTTCAAACTTTTAGTACTGTATTTTATGTTTATGGTCCCCCGCTTAATTTCGAACGTCCTCTGTAAGCCTTGTTTATAAAAAAGGGTTTCACTTCGTAAAATTGATTGACCACGTAAAAGAAATCCTTCCTGGAACGCTTACAAAAAATAATGTTTGCAACGAACAAATGTACTTGCGCGAGGCCGCACACGCACACACCCAGTACCTTTACTTACTAACCGGTGATAATCTTTCGCAAGTTGTTAGAAATGTGAAGTGTGATGCAGTACTATTCATATCTATGTAAGGTAGGTTATACGAATGTTAAGAACTGGAGATAGAACAGATTATGTCTGATACATAATACAGTATACGAGTACAGTACATATGACTGTATGTATGGTTGAGGGCTTACATGCAGCCTTGACAGTTACAATGCGCAAAATTCACCGACCAACAATTTCAAATTTTCAAACACTGAATGCGGTACGTAGTCAGATGATGATAGTCTGACTGACCCAGTACCTTGACCACCCGTATGCAGCAAACTCTGACCGTTCTAAAGAATACAGTCCTTGAAAGACCAGAAAAATTTTTGACGGAGGCAACGTCATCAAAGGTCACTTAGTTAGATTGCAGGGTGAACTGCAAGCTATCAAAAAGCACGAACCACAGCTATTTTTAAATTGAATTAAAGGAACTGATGCTTCTCTTTTCGAGTTCAATAGACTAACCGAGCATTGTACATAAACAGTGTTACTATCGTTTCCGTCAGCTGACTGTCTTCTCCTATAGGAGTATACAGTAACTACTCGTACATAGAGAAACATCAGACCACCAGTGCATCTCAGCTTTGCCGTGGATTATGCTGCCGGTTTTGTTGACACACTATACAATCGTCTTTCAACGGTTCCGCGGCTTTCAGGATACGTTTTCTGTTTACTTATGATTGGTCGTCTACATTTCTGACACCCAGAAACTGTATTCCATTCTGTATTACAGTTATCAGGCATCTGTTCTAGACAGATCGGAAACAATAAGCCGAGTAACAGACAACTGTGCTACGAATGTGCTAAAGCTAATTTATAAAACCCAGCAAACCATGGTCGGCAATCCATAACCAGGTTGCATACAAGAGACTTTTTAGATCTAAGGTAAACTTGAAAATGACGATGACCAGCAGTTAATCCGCAATGCTGAAGCATATTAAGTAGTAAACCGATACTACATAAGTAGATATGACTCATCAATTATTAAAAATGGCGGCGCTTACGTCATAAACTGGAGTTGGGAGCTGGACTTTCCAGCTGCAATTCCCGGTTGCACTTTGCACTTACAGCTCCCAACTGCAGCATCTGATTCAGCACAAATGAGCATATGATTACTGCGTATGTATACTGTATAGAAGTACACAGGTTGTTTACATTCCTTTACCGCGTGGATCGGCAAAGGCTGCAATTCCCGGTTAGACTTTGTAACTATAGTTACCAGTTCTACTTAATTAATCAGTAAGTCTGTACACTGTACACTGTATATACTGTACAACAATGCAATTTACATGGAACGTATTGGTATGCGCATTTATTCACACATTTTTAACTAGAGTTTAGCTGCGCTGTTTATTGTAACTTTTGTATTGAAGTAACTATTAGAGACACAATGTGCAAAGAAAACAAACCCATTACCAGAACATAGTTTTGCTAAGATGGCTCGTATTGTGTGCAAAAAGAACTTCTGCGAGGCAGCAATAGGCTCCTGCATTGTCATCATGCTGATTCTAATAATATTGCTGGAAGCATTTTTTGGAATTAGCCATAATATTAAAACTGTTATTAACAACTGTACGGTACTGGAAATTGAAGGCCTGTTCTCCGGAAACGTCACCCCAGGGACGAGTATGAAACTCGGTGTCGACAATTCGACGTTTTGAGTAGGTAAGTCTGAAGCGCTTATTCATTTCCGTAGACAAAACCTCCAACTTGCGCTTATTCCGCGTTATGTTGAACGGATAGTTAACCATAATATCGTTTGGTTCATCCAGCGGTGCAAGGCTTTCCAGTAGCAGTTCTTTTAAGCTTTCCAGATTCAGTTGTTTTCTAGCCTGGCGCGTTAACGTAAATCCTTTCACCTTTATTGTTTCGTGACCAGTGTTAGTACGATAAGCATAGCTTTTGGGTCCTATAAAGTAAAGGAATATACATGTGTAGTACTCAAAAACCATTAGTTATTGGTAGTAAATGATTTACCAAGCGCCACAAATTCTTCTATGTGCTCGTTAGGTTCCAACGATGATGACAAGTCGCCGAGGCAAGTTCCCGTTGGTGGGTCAGGCAGTTCGTCTTTGTGAATATAGAAAATGCTGTCTGTAACGAACCAAAACCCGATGAATAAAGAAGGCAAAAAAAAAAAGTCACTATAATTACTGCATACCGGTATCATGATATAGTAGGCGGTCCCCAACCATCTCCATAAATTTAAGGACGTGCAATCGTGCATACGCAGTAGTGAAAGCCGCAATGACAACATTGGTTTTCTTATTCGTTAGTATATAATCCTTCTTCGAACGATATTGTACTGCCATGACTTCATCCGTAACCAAGTCGAATCCGGCAACTTCGTATTTATTTGAAAACAAAAAGTCATGAAAGACCTCTTTTTTCTCCACCATGGCCGTGTTGGAACGGTCCTCCTGCTGCCCAAACTTTCCCCTGTAAAAATAATTCCTCCATGATTAAATAAGTCGTCGTTTCAGCAGCTTTACAGTTCTTACCAAAAACTATTCAACATAAGTTTGCAAAGCGCTCTGAGCGCATCATTTTTGGCAATATTATCTTTATTCAGGTGAATGTTTTCTTTAGCAAGGAATTCTTTTACATAAAAATCTTTCTCCTTGTTCGTGTGACAGTTTGAAGGATAGCCAGACGCTTCAGTTTTCAGCTTCAAAAACAGATCAATGTACTCTCTGAATAGATATTGCATTTGTTCGGGGTAGTGCCACGCGGAATATATTTTATCGATACGGTAGCCAACTTCCAGTGCTCGATGAATTTCCGGTGTACACCACGTTCCTTCCAGCGCTCTATCGTCGTCCTCATGATCACATGGAGTGTTAACACGCTCTTTCACGCACCTTGCGCATAACGGGAAGGTCAGCTTATCCGTTCGGTAGGGCAGTACTGGTAGGAATAAAGACGGTGGTGGAATAATGCGACATTTTACCACTCCAAATTATTTGTTCCACTGGTGGAAAGTCGTTAGTGATAATAACCGGTGGTCCAACTGGATATGGCAAATTTTTGTTGATGTATGGATATTCGCTAATAACGTCAAGCGAATAAATTTTCTCCCCTGGTCCGCATTTGTGGTAAAGTTTAATTGCATTTGTTCGGCCACCAGTAAAAGCGTCCCGCGGATGCAGCGGCTCCTCGACGTTGGCGAGCTCAGTCAGCTTCCGAAACTCACTGTCAGATGCAAATTTCATGTCGTAATCGTGCTCCCAAATCGATACAAGCGTGTATCCCAAAGTTTTTATTGCATCAAGCCGCAAAAGAGTCGCTTTTTTTACTTCTTCCATTGGTTTGCCAATAAACGGGTGCATTGTGCTGTTCGTGGTACAGTCGCTGCAGCCGTGCCACATACATCCTAAAGACATATAATGTTTCGGTTATTGTCAAAGGTCACAACTAATAAAACGTAATATTATGTGACAAACCTAAAAATTCGTAGACTGTTTTGGTTCCTGAATGAAAGCCATCAACGGTCCAGTGTCCGATTCGAAATTCTCTTTCCAGTTTTGTATCGTTATCCAGTTCTATCGATCGTAGCCAACGCTCTGCTTTTACAGATGATTTTTTTCCTTGTCCCGGTGGACCGATTAAAGCAATTTGATTCTTTTTTAGCATTCGCGCTCTCCAGAAATAATTGCACATTCCAGGCGTTGTAAGGCCAGAAGCAAATGGGCACAATCCACCAGATACTTGTTGAAAAAGCATTCGAAATTTCTCACATGCTTGTTGTAGTACGAGAACGTCCTGGGAACAGTACCTGTAAAATAACTGAATACGGCGAAAATATTATAAATAAAAAAAGAGTGGACATACTTGATGAAGTGTGCATTAAAATCAAACTGATTGTGATGACGGCGTCGTTCCTTGCGAAACCATTTTATGAAACGTTTCCGCTCGCATTTTTTCATGGATTGGTAACCGTAGTCATGCCGATCTGGCCAAGGGATGATCTTATTCCAGTTTTCGGATTTATTTAGCTTGTGTGGAAAATCTCCTTTAGTTTCTTGCAACCCAAACGCCCTCGCGAAATTCTTTAGTGACGATGGCACATAGTTCATGGAATCTCGAAATTTTATTTTGAGTTTGCTGAAATCCATTTGCATAATTTTAGAACCATTGAAAATCAGTGGGTGTGGAATAACGCCATTTTTTACTAAATAGTTTAACAGGAAATACCCGTCGAACCCCTGGAATGCAAAACAAAATTAACATTAGTTATGAATGAGCTGCTGCTGCTGTTGATTTTGATATTTTTTACCTTTAAATTATGCGCAATGAAAGTGTATCCACGAAAACGTTCGCTAAAAATGAAATCCCCAACAGCATTTGCGATGTCACCATTAATGTTTCCATCCTCAGGGAGCACAAACTTCTCATCTTTCGTGGCGATGACTGCTAGATTCACTCGGAATTCACCTGTATCATCTTGATAGGTTTCGAGGTCAAAGTAAGCAAATTTTTCATTTAAATGTTTTGCTTTCTCGCTATCCGTAAGTTCGATGGGCTGCATATAGCAGACATGGTTTTCTTCCGGCATGTGAAAGAGTGAACAGGTTGCGCAATATACTTCCCCACAACGATGTTGCTGATCGTCAATATCCAGTTCAATTTCTGGTTCGTCTTCCTCGTCATCGCCGTTGTTAGCATCTCTTTGGGTATCTTGAGGTGCGTCGTAATTAGTCCGCATTCGACGTCTCACAAGAGAAACGAAAGATTTGCATGTTCCACATACAAAAAACTTCGAACAGATTGGACTGGTTCCTGACTTGTGCGTTTCAAAACATTCTTGGCCATAAAAGTCGCGATTACAGTCCGAGCAATGTAATTTTGAATCCTTTTGCATCTTGCACGCTGAAGACAGACATTGGTGACATTTGAACTCACACCGGTGGTCTTCTCGGTGATTGTAGCCTTTCATGCAACGGTAACAGTAGTAGTGATGCTCAAAGTAGGCAGGCAAAGATGTTAGAACATCAAAATGCCGGTCATGATGAAGCAACATAATCCGCTTCTCAGCATACGCGCCACAGTAAACAACCGAGTTTCCGTGGTCGACAGATACTACAATAATCTGATAATTTGGCAAAACTTCTTCAAACCGAGCAATATCTTCCAAACTGTATTCTCTATTTGGCAACTGGGCGGCCCGCAGCAATTCTTTGGTTTTTGCATCCTGCAGTTTTTTGGTTCGGTAAAGCTTTGTATAAAGATCTTTATCACCCTCCGCATGCGCTTTAGCGACCACAATTGCTCTAGCCATACATAAACTGTCCGAGTTTCGAATTTGAGTGATGCAACGTTTTTTGTCCAAAATTTGCCGCAACAACTGGGACACGTTTTTTCTGCATGAGCCAATTGGTGTATCTGTATGCTGCACTGACAATTCAAAAGATTCGTCCAATAAAAACGCTTGATTCGAATTCAAAATCCTTTTGATGGTTGCCATCCATCGCTCGATAGTCAGTTGATCGCGTTGAATAGGTGGCATCCAAATTGGGTACTGCAATGCGGCCTGGTATACGCGAATTCTCACCAAGTTGTGCGCAGGAATTTTGGAAATCACCGTTTCGAGAATATCTTTCAACAACCGAGTTATGGTCTTCACTGCGTATTTGAACGATAAATTTTCAAGGCCGTTTATCTGACACTTATAAGTCTCAAATAAAACTGAAAACTTTTTCGAGTATTTGGCTCCGGTTTTTTCCAACTCATAATGTTCTTTAATATCATACAAATCTGGATCAAGCTCCTCTAAGTGCTGCACATGCACACCAGCTGGGGCAGCAGAATAATTATGATCAAGAAGCGCATAGTTATGGTTAAAGAGAGCACTATCTGCAAACTCAGTTTCCACATCGGTCTCAAGGGCAGTTGACGGTGTTCACGGATCAGGAATCCGAGCCATGGTGAAGAAAAAAATCTGAGAGCAGGACGTTGTTATTTGAACAAATGCAGCATCATATAAGCAGCTTATTCGTATGTGGGAGCAAAATTCCGTACAGCATTTTATAGTTACAACGGCCAACAAAATCTAATGACTCATTCGGTAAAACTTCGTGGGTTATGATAATATTCGCAACGCGTTTTTCTTAGGTACAATCAACGTTCGAGGGAAACACAGCGCCACAGCGGATGCAACATCTGTTTCCTTGGTCATCTGCAATAAAACAGACCCCTTGGAAATCTTTGTAAAAGAGCGAAATACATTTGCGCATACCCCAGTAAGAATTCTTATCTGGTTGTGATCTGCGGCAGTGTCGTTGGCGTCGATGTTGAGCTCTTTCTTCAGGAATCTGCATGCGGCAAAGCAGGCATTTCGTCCGGATTTTTAAATAGTGGTCCAGCATCCAGTTAGAATAAGCTTGCGCTTTGTTCGGACTGTAGCACTTGTCGTTACTTAAAGCGGCAAAACGCGGACATCCCAGTGTATCAAGATTAATGACATCAGATTTTAGTATTTGTTGAAGAATGAGACACTTTTGATCCCCTTTTGCATAGAAAACGACATCGGCAGGATCATTAATATAGCGGAGATAATTTTTAAACGCTCGACCTAACTGCTCTTCTAACTCTGAGAAAGCTTTACCGAACACGGCATCAATATCCGATGAACAAACGCCATATTTATTAACAATGTAATTGTTCGGCGCTAGCGCAAATGTGGTATAATAAAAGCAATAAAATTCGACAGAACTTATTGTGAGTGACGTAATAATTGGCTTACCATTAAGCGCATACCACTTAATGTCTACAACAATATGGTATACCATTCTCTGAACAGAACAGCAACAGAAATCGTTAATTTTCGCTGCGTAATAAGTTGAGAAACTGTTGTATCTGCAAGTTACGTTACACACACTGACAAAGTATTTTATTTGCGTCAAAACGGATGCAGCGCAACATCACGCTGTGGTGACAAAATACTTTGGTGCACAGCAAATTATTTTAAACTTATATACAAACAGTACGTGAAAAAACGGGTGTTGATGACGTGACTTTATTGCAATAACTGGCAGAAAACAGACTGAATAAGCAGAGAGTTATCACGGACTACAGTTCTCAAATTGAAGAAATGGTTAACATAAGCGCAAACCATTCTATCATTAGAAGATTTGCTATTGGTGAATAAATGAATAAGAGAAGTGAATGACTCGCCGGAGCACCGTTTTAGAATAAAAAAGCAGCAGTACTGTCCGCACACGGTACTCCATTCCATTTGTAAACGATGCGCTTGCGAAATAACTAACTCGGCGTTCTTGCAAAAACTTTCAATATGGATGCCGTAAAATCTCGGTTCGTGACCATAAGAGTCAAAATATTCCAATTGTCCTGGGACGTCCTGGTAGAACGCCAACCAATGCGAGCCTGGCTTTGCAGCTTCGTCAGTATTGACAACGCATGCCCATGGCAGCTTCATTGGCAGGGACGGTGGTAGCATATCCGCAGCAAATACACCAACGAAAGCGTCTCTCGTCACGGTGCTTGAACGTAACACATGGTTAATTTCAGCGGTGTCCATTGTAGTACCAGTCTGCAGATCACATCAAATTTAAAAATTTGTTTTTTTTTTTTTATTTTGTCCTGTAAACAACGGGCGACCGAGAGCGCGAAGCGCTCCGGTCGCCCATTGTTTACCACATCCGGCACGATTCACTTCAGCGTCAATAGGGGCCGACGGCGCGCCCACCCCCGCTGGCGACCCTGAAGCTTACCGCGCAGGCAACAACACGACATTTTTAAGTCCTACAACACTTACGTTAGGTTTTTAAGCCGTAAAATCCGCAATGAGCTGGCGATGTGAATTGACTTCAATAATATTATCCCACACCATCATCGTAATAGCCATAATCGGTTCAGTTAATTGGGCGGCGAACTGCAGGCGAATTGATAGATTTCCTTGGCGCACGGTGCTCATCGGTCCCCGGCCTGTCCGTGATGGTGTCAGATCGAATCCCCAAATAGCAAATCCTTCCGCAAATGCTTTACGGTCGAAAGGCAGCGCCCCGTCCGGTGCGTGCAAGCGGCCAAGCGTCTCCAACAGACAGTCATATGATTGCAAATAGTCACCCGTGGCGAAATTCGGTCGGTAGGCTTGTGCGGGATATGACTGTCCGTCGACTTCGACACTTATATAGTTGAGATTGAAATGTTCAAAGTTAAATGGATTGCCTCGGCGGAGCCCGTGAAAACTCGAGCTTTTTACAAATCCCACAAAAACACATTTGGGTACTGCTCCAATATGTAAATTAGCCAGCACTGTGCTCTGAATCATACCTATATCATTAACGCGCATACACACTCGCTCAATAGGGTATTTCACAGTCTTGGTCGATAATTGGGCAGTAAGCGCAGACAAATATGCCGGATTAGGGACAAAGCGTTTGACGTACAGCCGCGGATTGCGAATGTATGCTTTAAAAGCATCCACTGGAAGATTGGCGTATGAACGCAGGTAGAATTCCGGCTTATTCAGAATGAGGCGCACATGTAGCGGTACACCGGTGATCAAATCTTTTCCCTGCTGAAAAATGTCCGTACATAATTTGGCGCTGAATGGGACGTACTCGTTGGTCACAAACATGGCTTTCCGCGTTACTTCTTCTGCGTTATTGGCATGATCTTCTAGGTACCCGGGAGTGTCTATATAAAATCCAGCACTTGTTGCCTGGCTTTTTAGGGCAGCCGGTGCGTACCCCAACAAATTTTCCAAGTACGCTCGGTGGGCATACAATGGGCTGGAATTAGTTATCAGCCGGTTGGCCATTGTTACCTCTACCGAGCTGAATATAGAATGCGCTATCAAGTTCACTGGTGCTACCAGATCCGTGTTTTCAATATGCGTAGCCGCACCAAGTCCCGCGATTTGCTTTTTGATTGCAATGTCCATTTCTAGCGTAATTTCCGGTAGCACTAGCAGCGCCGACGTCGATGGGGGGATGTAAAAGGAAATTTCTCCAGAACTAATTTCTTCTGTTTGCCCTGATGTTGGTAGAATGCGTTCTTCTTCTGTCCGCACAAAATCCGCTAGAGTGGCCGGAACGGAGAATAAATCCGATTCGACCTGCATAGCTGGCATGCTTCCTTCCAAAATGAAAGCCATTTTAGAATGCGTCCTCAAATTCTCTTGGGGGAATCCGTTTAAGCCGTTTAAGTCGGAAGGAAGGTTTCTTTATCTTCTTTGTACTCTTGTGCTGCCGCTTGAGCCGTTTGATGCCTCCTTGCTGCTGAGGTTGCGCAGCTAACGCTTCCGAAATTTTCTCTCCTACCTTCTTGGATGTCTCACTAAGAACTGTTGTCGCTGCGTCGCGTAAGTGAGGCTTTGCTGCTTCCATTGCTGCTCTGGCATGTGGTGCCGCTGCTTTAATAACCGGGGCAGCAAAATGCGCTAATTTACTAAACATTGCGCGCAGAAAATTAGGTAGCATAAATCCACTGCCATTTTGCATTAAACTCCCGCGATAGCGTGTCATGACGGCTCCATAGCCGTGCTGGCTACCAGCGCCCGTGGCGGCCCCCGCAAATAAATCCAGATAGAACGATGGTGAGGGCTCAAAGAGTATTACGGGCATTTTTTAGCGATAGTAATACTGAATGGGGCGGAAATGCAGCTTTACCATTGACTTTCCAGTCTGAAAAATTGCCGCTTCTCCGAGATCAGATGCAATGTTGATATCAATAGTGTCCAGTCGATCGTATAAAACAGGTAAATAATGTGGATCCTCAAACCTTTCCGAAACAATTTCGAAGCGAGGAACACTTGCTTTAATGGGGTAAGCGCGCAAAAGCTGCATAGTTTCATCGCCCACAATATTGTAGTCGCACTTGTTGCAGTAGACAAAAATTGATTGGTTCCCAATGTGCATATTTACGGGCTTATCCGCTGTCATTGTTGTAGACGTCTCCAACAGTTGCAACTCTGCCAAGGCTTTCAGCTGGTCGGACAGTGTTGTAGCTGCGGAAGCAAAATTCGTTTTTTCCATCAAAAAATTTTCGTATTGTTCAGACTGTGCAGCAGAAAATCGTCGTTCTTTTAATCCTAGCATACGGGATAGATGCAAAGATGAGGGAGGAAAATCCAGAAAAACACGTACGCTGGGAAATTTCACTTTGAGCTTGGGCTCGGTTGCTAATAATTCTAGTTGAAAAGCCGCCTGTTCTTTTGCTGCAGAATCGCGAAATGGCTTTAACCGTGGTACTTTACTGTTGATAAAATTAATGATGTCACTTTTCTCATAGATCCCAGCAGGTACCGTAATTGTGTCCCGGTCCATAGCGAAAACACCGTTGCTATCCATAGAAGTAATTTGGTCAACGTGCAGTGTTTGGGGACCAGGTAAATTGTACATTGAATTAGGATACTGTATTTCCACCAGTGCCATTTCCCATTGTCCCGGTAGGGATATCACGCTCTTTAACTTTGTTGTCCCTTCAGCTGCATTATTCTTTGGGAACTGTTGCATACAGGCATCAGATGGAAGCGTAACGTAAAACCTATTATGAGCCATTTCTGACACGACTGAGTTCAGCTTCGTAATATTTCCCGCGAATTAAGTCCCCTTCTTCATCCAGTAATACGTGGCTGTTGTGGTAATACCTGGTGTATCTTGTAAATTTCCTCCTTAAATGTTGACTCATATCCTTTTTCAAAAAGTGTTTTGTCGATGGCTACTCGTACTGTGTCACCTACGCTGTACTTTGGCTTTTTCTGCTTTCCCAATAATAATTCCGCATGTAGTCGATTGAATATTTGCAAAGAATTGGACTGGCTAACCTCATTAGGCGTGACTTTATGCGAAGAATGAATTGCGTTGTTGTAACTGTTTACCAAATCTCCCAGAACGTCCCAGTACACTTTAGACTGTCGGTGTCGAAATAATTTCCATATTCGTTTCTTGAGATTGCGTATGCCATTTTCAGCTAAGGATGCTTTGATTGCTTTATTTTCAGAAGAGAACAAAAACACCTTTTGGGCTGTCAAAAAATTCTTAACATCCTTATTGTAAAATTCAAGGCCTTTGTCGGTTTGCAATTTAATGGGAGCTCCGAGTTCTGCAAACACCTTTTCCAGACCAAGTTTTACTTCTGGACCGCTTTTATTCTTTAGTAGTTGACAGCTCACTTTCTTGCTGAAGACGTCGATCACAAACAATATCCAACGGTATCCTTTGTTCTGCTTCGCATATTTTGACATGTCTGCCAGATCGGCTTGATATTGCTCCGCTAGGTTTGAGACAACTACGGGGTTTCTTTTGAACTTTTTGCGTCGAGATTTGTGGACTGTATATGGATCCAGATGCTCCAGCTGTTCCCGCGTTTGTTGATAGTGTGGTGCTTGTGGAAAGTGGCTGCGAAACTTTTGAATCCCCGTTAAGCTGCCCGGGTGCTGAGGGTTCAGATACGCTTGTCGTAGCAGTAGATTGGCCATCGTATTCGTCGTCGCTACTGCTTGATCCATCGCAACAGCTAGATGTGCAGTTCCATGTCATACCTTCACCCAAAGACAAAGAAAAGGGAACGCATCCACCACTCATTTGTTATTAATAGTCATCCAGTTGAACTGGGATTTGGTTCTTGAACCGATGGGACCTTCGACTTGCAAAGTGTTTTCATCAAATACTTCTCGCTTTGCACGCTTGCGTTTTGCCGGGGGTGCAGGTGGAATAGGAGGGAAAGCGTCTAACATACGATCAGGAATATTAGGGGGTACCCATGGCTTCTTTAATAGTTGTACTGGAATTGGGGGCACAGATGCTGGAGGTGAAATAACCATTTGGTCAGGGCCAAACGCTGACTCTTTCAGCGCCAAAAACCGAACCAAGTTTCTTGATAACAGTTCCGCTTTTTCCCATTCGCTTAGCGTATTCGGTGAAATTATATCTCTCATCAAATCGTCCAGTTTTACAATATCAAGAACTTCAGTAGGCTGCTGTTGTAATTGGACATCCGTTACAATACGACCAACCGTGTCACTTGCGAGTCTTTTCATTTCGCTCGCGGGAACAATATAATGCACTTCCGGTTTCATTTCAGTAAAGCAGTTCCCAAAACAGCTGCCAATACAGGTAGAACCGCAGGTAAGAATCCTCCGCGCTGTAATAAAATTTCCCTCTTGCTTCGTAAAGGATATTTTTTGAGGGCAATCAGCTTTAATGGCCGACGCCAACGCTGACACACCTTTAGCTGATCGGTGGTAAGAGGCACTGAATTCTTCACCAAATTCAAACAAATTTCTTCAAAACAGCGAAGTTGTCGCTTCGAAATATTTTCCAAAAGAAAACGACGCTGCTTGGGTTTCAGCGATCGCAGGGTAAGCAGAAACGGTGCAAAGTCTTTTAAAATCTGATCACACATTCTTGGGCAAGTTTGTCGTTTGTGGATTGATGTAAATTTTTGTCAATTCTCCCGGTAATATTGCCGAACGAATCCTTAAATAGGCAGGTGTATCTGGTTTCATATCCAAAATGAGAGGTTGAAATGGTTCCTGGCCGATTTCCTCGTAAGCCCCGCTGAGATGTTTTAAACCAGTCTGCCTTTCTAGAATCTTGATTTGGTTCACATCACGATTATTTTTGAACAGTACAAGATATTGTGCATTAAGATGCACGTCACACATAGCAGACCCTTGTTTATATAGGTTATTGAATAATAAAAATACACAAAGGCGTTTATGGTGTACTTTTTGAGTGAAGAGTTTAGATAAATGCTCGTTTTTCACCAAACTGCTTGCCACGTCATCCAGTATCAACAAAATATTTTGTTTACCATCAAAATAATTTTCATCCTCCACAATTTGTTGAATATTTTTTGTCAGTTCAATCCCAGGGACTTTGCGCTGAAGCATTTCGTAGGCTGGCTGCATTTCTCCGTACACCAAAATAATTCTTCCAAATGGTTGGTCAAATAATTTATCGCGCTCCATAATTAATTTTGACACATACGTCGTTTTCCCCGAAGTCGTTGGCCCCACAACAAGGACTGAAGCGGGTAGTCGGAATCTCAAATCAGCTGTCGTGCGCGGATACCTATTTAAGGAATCCATTTCCAAAGGGCGGAGCTATTGCTAGCGTACCGATAACAGAATGGAGACTTCAAAGCGGAGGGTTGTCTTGGATATTGATTGGTTTATCGCAGGCTCCCAACGGCTTATAAAACAGCTAGCATTTTGTGATTGCCCAACTGGTGCTAGCAGGTGCTACACATTCACCATTCCATCCCACTTTAATCATTACCGCGTTGAATTTAGAAGCCAATCGCGTCACTCGCACGGACTTGTCTGGCATAATCGTGGAGATTATCTATACTTAGACATCGCTAGTGCCATTCAGGATATGCTGGAGCTTATTGGTGAACGACCTGCGCGTTTGATGTTTTTTGCCAAAGGATTGGAAAAGCAAAAGATTTTGGAAAATTATTTACCTGAAGTGTTTAATCTTGAAGACATTGGGTGCCCAAATTTTAAGGAGCTTACTTCATTACCACAAACAACGCTTTCAAAAGCGGAGACATTTGCAAATTGGCTGAATGGCGAGAATAACTAACGTTGTTGCAACTGCTGACCTTGGCTACGCAATTGACTTACCCAGCTTATTCGAACGCGCTCCGCTTTCTCATTATGCACCACATAAATTTTCCGGGCTTCTTCTCCGTTCCATTCGTCCTCACAAATCGCACTGCCAGGTGTACCGCAACGGCAAGATCACAGTTAATGGTGCAAAGTCCATCAGTGACGCTCTCGCGTTATTGGATCACTATTACCGGAAACTGCAAAAATATGGCTATCAAAAAGCATCGTTAAAGAATCCACGAATTGGTAACATTGTCGCCACTTTTAATTTTGGGAAATTTCTAAGTTTAGAGAAATTGTACAACTCAATAAGAGCAAAAGCTGATGCCATGTTTGAACCTGAAATATTTCCGGCCATGCGAGTCCGGCTTCAAGGTTGTACGGCGATGATTTTCCATTCTGGAAAAATTAATTTATTAGGTGCAAAAAAAACTAATACTCTTCAAACTGCTGAAAACGAGTTGCGCTTGTTATTAGGAAACTAAATGCAGCAATAAATAAAATTATAAAAAAGCAATCGTTACATGTTTCTATTACTTGGCATTAAAAAGCAATAGTGCTTAATTTATTAAGAAATGTAAAGAACGTTTATCCTTAAAAGTACATGGTACATACTACATATACAGTGCAATACTGTACAGTATTGCACTGTACAGTATATACAGTGCAATACTGTACAGTACATTAATCATTAATTATGATAATTAGGGTTCATTACGAAATGTATTTTTTGTTATGAAAGCATTGAGCTAACATACAAGCATATAATAATAATTTCTGTAATGTAAAAACTGCGGAATCAGCAAATTACGCCATACCGTTGATAAGGTGGAAAAATGTTTTGAGAGGTTCAGGCCAACTTTTTCCACTCGAGCCCTCGTTGCTTGTAGCATCCCCGAAACTATGTACACATAAAAAATATACCATGTGTTACAACACAATATAAACTAAAAACATTAGCTTCACTTACTTCGTGTACAAGAAATTCATAAATTCTGCAGTTAGCGGAGTAATCGTTAATAAAAATGCACCTTTAGCTCCAGTGGAAAAAAATTTGCGGCGACCCTGGCGGACTTTTTCCAGTTGATCTGCACGCGCGCATAAGCATGCACGCAATAGACCATAAGACTGCAAATAACTGTCAAAATTGATTACACAGTACAGTCATAATGTACAGTGATAAAGAAAATAATATTCCATCGTAGTTGTTAGTTTTTATGATTATTTATGAATAAATAAGCTGAGAATAGAGGAAATAGTAATGTCCACTAGAAAGCAATTATATTTCACTTACTGTACGTTGAAAGGCTTTGACGAGCCTGATGCGTTAAAGTGCTCCTCCATAGTGTAAAAGAATGTAAACAACTTGTTGAATCAAACAGTGAAAGTGAACCAATATAACTGTGCAGTGTACAGCAGTATCCATACAGTACACTGGGCACATGTCGAGTTTCACAGTTATATCCAAGTCGTGCACAATCCAGATAAGCAATTAAACTACTCGGTAAGTTGGCAAATAATTATGTATATTACAAGTGCACAGCATTACTACAAGTGTTTTCAATAATTAAGAGACGCGCATGGTGTGTAGCACCATAGCTGACGAGCCAGCTGCGCTAATGTGCCAGTGCCGCTCCATGCGGTAAAAGAATGTAAACAACCACTTGCACGCGTGCAACACGGCTGCACAGGTAGCTGCATCTGGGCTGCGAGCCTCCTTGAGGTTTGCACAGCATGTGTATCAGTGATACACTGGCTGGCTATCGCTGACGAGCCAGCTGAGCTAATGTGCTAGTGCCGCTCCATGCGGTAAAAGAATGTAAACAACTTGTGTGTGTGAATATCAGTAAGTGAGTAAATTAGGTAGTGTACTTCTATACAGTGTACATATGCAGTAATCATATGCTGCAGTTGTGGTGAATCATATGCTGCAGTTGGGAGCTGCAAGTACAATGTACAACCAGGGAATTGTAATTAGAAAGTCCAGCTCCCAACTCCAGTTTATGACGTAACCGACGCCATTTTTAATAATTGATGAGTCATATCTACTTATGTAGTATCGGTTTACTACCATATTAGCAGCTGATCCGTCTAGACTCTGGATTATGTCGCTGCAGTCAATATTATTTTGGACGCAATTCGCGGTTCCGTTCCCTAAACGGTGATTAATCTAGATTGTAGCAAAATGTACGACAAATATTCACGTTTTGTTTTACAAAGTTTACGCATATTCGGGATGTGTCCTTGGCAGCAAACGAACTCCGGACCGAAACTGTTACTGTATTCTGTAGTCTCCCGAATCTTGTTCATTGCTGTGGCGCTGTGTGCTATAACTGCTGATTTTTTGACGTAATCACACACTTGGATTACCATCAATGAACCAAAACTTCCACTGACTCTTGTAGCCAGCTTATTTATTCTAACATCACTCCTGGTAACTGTCTACGGATCCATAATGGCGTTGCGTAGCAAACCTTTGCTGTCTATTATGGAAGAATTGCGCCGACTGGTCCAAAATGTGCCGCTCGTAATGCACACACTGAGACTCTGCTGTATGTGGTATGCTGCCGGTGTATGTGGATTTGGTGTCGTGCTAACCTACATCGCGATACGGCGAATGCGAGATGCTTGGTACCAAAAAGAAGTCATCTTCGGCTTTGAGTTTTGCTCCTTATACGGGATGGTTCTCCAGATGATTTTAGTAAGCGTGATTTGCTGCGTGGCTATAGTATTCTCGTTATCGTTTGTCATTTTCGCGGTGACCTTAGGATCTGCCTTCAGGGCAATTGAAAACCGCTGTACTGAGCATTATCAGAAGCATAAAACTGGCGAAAGGGATTATAAGGGCCTTGTGGCCGAAATTAATAAGTGTCGGCACGAGCATCTGGCGTTGTCTAACATTGTTCGCAGTCTCGATGATGTCTACGCTCCGTCCAACTTCGTCAGCTTAATGCTGGAAGTTCTTCTGGTGGTGTTCAATTTCGGAACAGTAATCGGTGTGGCTCCCTCAAAAATTGGGCACATGTTTACGAATAATATCACTGATCTTGTGTTTTGCTCGTTGAATGCATTGGTTAACGTTTTCGTACTGATGAAACGGCTGGTTTGCTGCAGCTTATATGCAAAAGCAGGTAACCATGAATTTGACTGTAAAAAGCAAAAGTAATTACCAACCGGTATTTCTACCTCAGCGGAACTGGTGTGGAACAGAATGCGCAATTCTGCAACCTTTTTCTAAGTGCGATTGTAATGCGGAATAACTACGGTGGTACTGCATATAGTGTATGTTTTCATGTAGGCATATTCGATTGCGGTGATTTTAAGCAGCGTGACGGAAGGGTTTGATACCAACGGAAACGATGAATTCGAGGTGCAGATAAATAAGACACTGCGTCGCTTACGAGATTGCCCTGTCGTGTTCACGGCCGGCTGGAAATATCTTCACACTGAACACCGAATTTATTCTGTCGGTAAGCTTCATACACCTGCTGTGCCTGTGAAAGATTTGAGTATAAATAACCCAAACTGGCTCAACGCTTTTTAGGTGTCCGGCATTCTGATTGCGTACGTTTTGGTCCTGTATGAGATGAATTCCAAAGGCGATCACCATGCCATGTTTCCGTGCAACTGTACAGCAAAGATGTCCGTAAGGCGTTAGCCGATATTGTGCGTCTTGGCATTCATGGTTAACGCCGTCACCACAAATCTTTTTTGCTTGCTCTAGTTCCTATCCCGTTTTTCATAAAACGCTATAGTAGATACTTTTCTTATCGTTCGGACGTACATATATATTAGGTAACATCTAATTACCTGTTCCTCGCACGAGACTGTTTCAAATATGGCAATGCGTAATCTTCTGATGGGTTTCTTGTACGAAATGTATTTATGTTCCATACTGTTGTACTTTAGAAGTCTAAAGAGGCCTCAAGCCTGTAATGAAGCTATGTTCAGTACCTTGTGTTCGTAATTTCGACATACATATAAATTTTACCGAGACTCTCTGTTGCACATCTATAATGCCTGTAATTAGCTAAAAGTACTTGTACCTGTAAGCTGTAATTAACCAAAAGACAAATAAATTAAAGCGACTACTTGCATGCATTTTGCTAGGATCATAAATCTGCGCCTACATACTTACGGGTTGGTACCTCGGAAATACAAAATTAAAGTACTTCAGAAATGAAAGAAAGAAATGCATTTTTGTAAAACAGGCTACAGCACAGTGGCGCTAGGCCACTGGCACATGGGCAGTTTTTAATGCTTTGTATATACGTACTGTAGAGTTAAGAAACGTATGCCACGGAGTATACAGCATAAACTTGTAGTAAACAAAATTTTTAGAAGACACAAGAGCAATAAATTAAATGGGGAATCATATTTTTTACGCATCCTATTGAGCTGCTATCATTTTAAAATCTACTGGCAGTGTTTGTGCATAATGCATATATTTAGATCACCACTTGTTGCACGGAGTAAAAAGAAAATGCAGAAGTAAAAATAGTCATCTGATATCAAGTGTACATTCAAAGAACAATCCCGAAAATAAGAAAAGCGCAGTGTTCGTGCTCGTTCATTACTAATTCTCCTCCTCGCTACAGTCGTGTCAACGAAACGATACTACTTCGTTTCTTTAATATCGATTCCTTGAATACCTCGAATGGGCTGAACCATGTTCACTTTGTTAAAAATTTACTTGAAAAAAAATTTGGAAACTATCATTCAATTACCATTTGGAAATTACCATTTAAATTTGGAAATACCACTCAATAAGGTTCCATTTCATTGAAATCTTTCATAGTATAATTCTGAGAAACAAATGGCGGTAGTTTTCTTTGGAATCCTGAGGACCACCTGGCTGCCGGGGATCAATTGTCGGTTGTGGTTCACGAGTACGTGTAGTTAGTTTATAAGAGTTTTGGGCGGTCGAATAGCCGTCATCGTGTTGCGTTTGTCGGTGGTCGACAATCTGAGGAGCATCCTTAGCACGTATTATCACAAATGATTTATGCATTTCCAAACCGGGGTCATTTTTCTTACCGGCACTGGCGGCGGCGAAACCGGAAGGTGAACGAACGACTGGACGTGGAAGGTAAGCTGGAAGCGCTCTTGAATAAATCGGAAGAGGAGATATCATTTCCTCGTGTGGTAGCTGAAAACAGCAATAACTGATATTTGCATTTCACCTTGCCGTTATTTTAATTAAACTGCTAATGACTGACTCGATGTAACCGACCTTAAACGTACAGCCACAGCCGGTACAGGTACCTTTTCATTCTAACGGATTCGTTTTTGCAAAAATATTATACGCGTTTAGCCTCAGTATACCTGACTTGTACGATTACATCCGACTGGAAATTTTAAAACTGTTACATCAAAAAATAGAAAGGTTATTACACAGATAGAACTGGACAAGTATATGTAATAAAATCGGCATTCTGTACATATAGTTAGCAACTTACCGATAACCGCAATGGTAATCACAAGATACAGCAAGCAAGAAGTGGAACATTGCGTACAATACAGTTCGGAGAACATTATTCAGTGCTTTAATCCTTATTGAAAATATTGTTGGGTCCTTTTATTTAGAAAATTAGCAAAAATAATAACCCGATGTTGGTTGGTAATCATCGACAAGAATGCAACGCAATTTACGCGGGCCCTGCAATCTGTAGATCCTGATTTTGAACACTTCTTGTTATTTGATTGAGAGGAAGCTGTGCCAGTTTGGGGCGGTGTTAATTGCTGCATTTATTAATTAACCATGTCATCTGATGATTGTTGTCATTAATGTGTGACATTTGCAAATAAATGTGGCGACAGCAGTTTCGAGAATATGTGAATCTTCGGTACGAGTAATGCACACAAAATTTATGCCAACACTTTTGGTGTTTTGACATTGTTCAAGAGCCGGTTCAACAACAAGAGATATTGTCATATTAAATATGCAGCCAAATATGTTTCTGCAGGCTTACGCGTGGAGGTCTTTGTCTAGTTCGTAAAACTAAAATGCGACATAAATGAATCAGCGGCTGTGTAAAAATTACTGCTATTGATAATAGAGAAAGGGTGACTGGTGTAAATCATGACTGAACAAGCCCTTGGGCAGTCTGTTTTTAGTCTATCAGAAAAGCGGTTAGACATCGGCGGGATCGGTTACGGCATACAAGTGATTATACCTTAGTCGGACCAGGACTCAACACAACATCAACTATTCACTTCACATCAAGAGCGCGTCTTTCCCATACGCAGCAACCGTCTGTCGCCTGTGAATGCCGGCAGTGTTGTTTTTGTGGATGTGCATAGCTGTGCAGTTTGAGCAAATAGGTGCTCAAATTGCAGCGATCTCCGTGGATATTTTTTCAACATCCGAATATTCTAGTACTATTCACTTCACTTGGGGCTAGATGCAAGTAAGCCTTAAGCTACCGTTACTACCGTATTATAAACAAATTATACAATCAATTAAATATTTGTATCTCGTGCTTCCTGTCTTGTCCTGTGATTTACATCGATAATCATCACTGCAACAAGCAGGTAATCCACCGGCGATGATATTGCCGTTCAAAGATATGGCTCTCTGCACAGCAAATTTGTCAAAGGTGGAAGTCAGGTAACATCTGCTACCCGAATTTTGCTTTTGACAACTTTGCACTTTGTGCAACCGCAACGTTTTACCAGTACCGTATGCCGTTGTTTTTCGTAGGTAAATACAATATTTTCAATGCTCACTAATTAGTACATTGTACGAGTACATATGCCATATCAGTATTAAGCAAAGCCGTTTTGTCTGGGATATTCTGCCCGGTTGTAAAATACTTGATCGTTTTTGTTGAATTTACTCTGTCACTGTCCTTACGTCCGACGTAATGCATGGTAGCCGTATTACGCGTAGTGGTTACCGGTATTCACCGGTTAATTCTCGTTCATTCCCATTTTCTTACAATTGTCAGCGAGATTCAAGAGAACGCTAAGATAGAACGACAGATAGATACGAAAGAACTGTGCACTCAAATGCCAGTAGCTGCCGCCTGCCAACCTTGGCACATACAACTGTCTCTAGAGTCTAGACCGCAAGGCGTTCCCCGAATCAGGTTATCTGCCATGACCTTTGAACTGGCTTCTTTCCGCCAGATTGGGATGTTGCTCCAGTTCGCTCATATTGCCATCGTGTAATACATGCTCCCATTGCGATACCGCGCCGTTGTCAGCGTGTGGGCTAATGAGCGGTGCTGAATGCCGATGGAGATATCACACCAGCGCGGCACCACCATATGCCAAACCAAACACTACAATCTCGCTAGCGAAATGCTTTTCTTCTTGTGTCTGACATTGATGTGCTGTTGTTATTGGGATTCAATCATTCGTATTTCAGTAAATTCCAACGATAAATCTTTGTGGCCGCATGTGGAATATTATATGAAAATTATAAACCAAAATACAGATTACTCGGTGACAAGATTAATTCGAACCAGTAACGGGTAGCCGCCTTTGTTTATTAATATCGCTCTGATTTTATTCTTGCCTTTCGCGGTACCTTTCGACCAGTAGATTCAGTTCTTATTTCTGAAAAACTTTGACGAAGTTTAGATTAAATTCTTCGAATTTTTCTCAACCGCCAGTCCCTTTGTTCTTGGCGAGGGGCGCAGGCACTGACGTTTTTGTTTGTTTGTCTAGTCATTGCGAATTCACTGGGTCATGCAGTACCGGCCGAACAACAAAGTTGATACAGTGGTTCCTACATTAACCTTTACAAACGCGAATTGATGGTAAGAAGACAAATCAGGAAAGCGTAAAAACAGTATCCGCCAATTTTGTCGTGTTTAAAACAGCTTGAATACGTTCGGGCAGACATGCATACTTCTTGTACGAGGAGAAAGCTAATATCTTCGGTAGCGCGTTCAAATTCCTGAGACTCTTCGAACACTGTGGCCCTGACTGTGCGCATGCACGATTTGACTAAACAGTCAACCGTAGGAGGTTGCCAGTCTCCGTTTAGCTAGAACGGTGTTGATTGGCGCACCTATCCACGGCGGACGGTCAAGTTAATAGGATTGACAGCCTTCTTCGGTTGGCTGTTAAAGTCAAATGTGCATGGGCCAAGTGTTCGAAATGACTCGGGATTTTGACTGCGCTACCGAAGATATTAGCTTTCTCAAAGTCAAATGTGCATGGGCCAAGTGTTCGAAATGACTCGGGATTTTGACTGCGCTACCGAAGATATTAGCTTTCTCCTCGTATGCTTGTGTGTGAAGTATGCTTGTGTAGAGGTACATATGTCACAAGTATGCTTGTGTAGAGGTACATATGTCACATGTACTTTGTATAAAGTTTTTTTCGCTATTGACCCTGGCATTGAAACATATTGCGAACGTGGGCAGTTAATTCGGTGTAGGCTGTTTGGGCATCGGCACCGCAAGCAGCGTTGACCTTCGCCGAAAGAACAATCTCTTCGAAGCGATCTATCCAATTTTAGACGGAGTTACAACGATGAGTATCCCGACGAAGAGCAGCACTCCAGCTATTTCTAGCACCAAAGCGACCAGATTGGACGGGGCGTACACATTACCCAGCTGCCTGACGAGCTTCGACAATGCCAGATGTTCCTGACGACAGTTTCTACGTAATTCGCCCTAAAAAGACTTTGTAATCGATCTTCTTGGTTTTGTATGCCCGGTAGTGTTCCGTGCGTTCGATCTGCTTGTAGGCTGATCTTGAGGTCATCGAAATGATGGCAAACGACAGTGACAATGTCAGAGCCAGTACGGTTTCCAGGAAAGCTGCAGACAGATACCGTATAGCGACGAAAATTCCGTACCGAAAATGATTTCATTTCGTCCTCGAGCATCCCGTAAACGGAGTGCCACGATGTAGAACCACAGGACCAAAATCATATTGCCAAAAACAATATACCAAGATTGCGTAGTAGTTTATCGTGAGCGCCACAAGTGGCACATCCTTTACATGTCGGTGTAGTTTTTCCAGGATACCCGGCCGTACCTTACTGTAGAGAGCTAAA